AGTTTTAGACCCGCCCCATGGGAGAACCCTCCAAAACATCGTCCCCAGACCCCCCCAGGCCCTCCAAGATAGCCTGGAAGAGACCCCCCCGAAATGAGACCACCCTCCCTTTATTACGAAATCTGGAGTACCCATCGGCCTTCGACAATCTTACGCGGTCTCTGTCGGTCTTCTGCACGAGCGCTGGATGGGCGCGTCAACAATGGGTCCCTGATCGAATACCGACAGGGAGGGGATGCGAATCTGGGCCACTGAGAGCTGATGGAGAGACGGGGAAGAAAGCCGCGGGCTTGAACAGCTTCCCGGAGCCGTCGTCCATCACAACCATCCACCGCTCCTCGTGATCGTCCCATCTTGCCGCGGGGCGCCGAGAAGGGGTGAGTTGGATAAATGGAGAATGGGCATCGAGCTTTTAGACCTCCTCTGAACGACTGGAAGCTTACAGGGGCATCCCAAGGACCTGCGGAGAGCCTCGGACGCCTCCGCTCCTCCCTTTCCTCCTCCTCCTTCTCCTCCTCCTCCTCCTTCTCCTCCACCGCATCCTCGTCCGCCTCGACTTCCCGTCCTCCTCCTGACACCGCAGCCCCTTTGCTTCCTTCCACCTCCCTCCTCCTGCCCACCCTCCCCCCCGCCCGACCCCCCCCTTCCCCCGCGGCGGCCTGGCTCTGGCTGTCTCGGGAAGGCAAGGGGGCCAGCGTAAGCCCGAGACGCGCGAGCGATGCTGCAACAGACCCTCCCTCCGAGCTCCCTCTTCTTAGGTTCCTACAATAATGTCCTACACTGCTGGAAGTGCCCCGGTCGTCCGAGAATCCACACTCGTGCAGAAACACCTTGCGTGGGACTACAACGCCGCAGGTCAAAGTGACTGTTGCGTCCTGACAATCCTTGACCGTGCCAGAACACCACTCCTGGAACTTCAGCCCTACGGATCCTTGAAACTGCTGAGAAACTCTGGGGGACCACTGTGCGCGGCGCTAAGCGAGAGCCACATTTTGAAAACAAGCCGCCCTCCTTCCTTGGACACCACCGCAAACTTTTCAGACGAATGTGCGTGGCGCTACAGCGAGACCCACATGTTGAAAACCAGCCGCCCTTCACTTTTGAAACTGCTGCAAACGTGCAAGATGAGCGCGCGCGGCGTTCAGGCGATGGTAACTGTTTGAAAATCCGCCGCACTCCATCGCTGACATTGTTACAAACATCAAGCTTCCGGATAATAAATGGTGAGGAAGTCTTAAGCGAAACGCCTGGCCCGCCCTACCGACGCGTCTGGGGTCGCGACTGGCAGTTGCTTAAAAGTCATGAAGAAGGAAGAGAATTTCCCGAGAGACTTCACCGCCGAACGGGTGTGAACAGTACCGGCTCCACGCAGATGACGAGGGAGATCACGAACACCAGGAGAAGGATTGACAGCACCACGACCAGTCAACGTCGAACTAAGAGATATTATGATGAGGCCCATCTTGAGCTCCCCATCCAAAGCCACTGGTCCATAACATGCACGACGAGCTACACAGCGCGACCAGCACAAATATGAAACTGAAGGCGGTGTACTAGCAAACCGCTTACGACACCCTCGCCTGGAACGACCTGTGCACCGTACAGACACGCAGCGAAGCGTAGCGTCCATGGATGAAAAACCTCACCAAGCGACGGCTAAGAACAAGGCCCCCCTGCAACATTCTCCACGCAAATGTTGCCATCGCTCGGACATCCATTGCCCGTGCATCTTTCGGTTTCGTGCGCTTATGTTCTCGGAAGATGATCCAAGATGCTCGCCGATGGTCCTCGCCGAGGAAACAATGTACATGTTCGAGCGATGTCAAGAGATGAGGAAGCGGAGCATGGCGGACAGATTTAGGAGGCAACTACTGGGAGGTCTTCATCGGAAAGATTAAATAGGATTGAACCCCATTTGACAACTAAACCATTCACCCCCAGTCCCAGTCCCGGCATAGGGCCCGAATCCAGGAAACGCATCGCCAAAGTAAGCCGCGCGCGAAGCTCTGCGATGACAACGCCACAACGACTTGGGCGGTTCGGAAGAAGATGAGGGGGAAGGGCGAACGGACCATAATGAGCAACAGCGGGGCGCACAAAGCAACGCGAGCAGGAGGGGGAGGAGGGGGGGGGGGAGGGAAGGAGGGAGGAGGCGGAGGAGAATCACTACGAAACAACGTGGAGGGAGAAGGAGGGGGAGAAGGAGGAGGAAGGGAGCAGGGCGAAGATGAGGAGGAGGAGGGGAGGGAAAGGGAAGGGCAAGGAGAGAAAGAGGAAGAGGAAGAGGAAGAGGTGATGAGGCATATGAGGAAGAAGAGGAGGAGGAGGAGGAGGAGGAGGAGGAGGAGGAGGAGGAGGAGGAGGCAGGAGGGGGAGGAGGAAGGCAGAGGGAAAACAAAAGGGGCGCGAGGGGGACGAGAAGGAGAAGGAGGAGCATGGGGAGGACGAGGAGGAGGAGGAGGAGGAAGAGGAGGAGGATAAGGGAACAGGAGGACGATGAGGAGGAGGAAGATGTAGAGGTTGATCAGGGGCGCCCGTCGTCTCCTTTCTGCCCCGCCCAGCCCCAGCCCCTTGTCCTGCTCCTCCTCCTCGCCATATGGCTCCTCGTCGCCCTCATCCTCCTCATCGTCATCTATCCGCATCCTACCCATTGTCCTCCTCCTCCTCGTCCTGCTCTTCACCGCGCTCTCCACCATCAAGCCCTGCCCTGCCCACCTCATCCAAACCCCCCATGGTCATCGCAGCCCGTCTGCAGACAAGGACTCCTGCACGTCTAACCGACGCTGCGGCCGCCGCCAACAGGAGGCTGAGGAGGAGGAGGAGGACCAGGGTGAAAAAGGGAGCGAACGAGGAAGAAGGGGAAGGAAACTGGTCGAAGCGGATGGGGCTGAAAGAGATGGAGGGGAATGGGATGAGGAAGAAGGGAAGGAGGGCGACGACGAGGAGGATGAGGAAGATGAGGACCAAAAGAGGAGACGAGAGGACAGAGGACATGGGAAACACGTTTCAACCCACACCAAGCGCGTGCCGATCAACGGCGGCACGGCGAGCTGGGGCCTGTAACCAGGCCAGCGCGACCGCCAGCCCGTTCAGGCCGAGCGCTTGCTGGAGGCCGCCGTCGGGTCCTGGGGCGGGGCGGCATGCCAGGACTGACTGACTCATGTCCTCCTCCTCCTCCCCCCCCCCTCCTCCTTATCCTCCTCCACCATCCTCATCCCCATTATCTTCGCTCTCCTCACCCTGCGAGTGATCCAGGCCCATAGAGTCACCTCACCTCGCCACCCTCACCTCGCCACCCTCGTCCTCCTCACCTCGCCACCCTCATCCTCCTTATTTTCGCCCTCCTCACCTCGCCATCTTCACCTCGCCGTCCTCACCTCGCCATCCTCATCCTCCTCACCTTGCCATCACCATCCTCACCATCCTCATTATCTTCGCCCCCTCGTCTCGCCACCCTCATCATCCCCGCCCTCGCCCTCCTTATCCTCGTAGACCCAGGCCCAGAGACGCCATCCTGAAGAGCCCCGTGGAAACAAAACTCCACTGGCGCCTGGAAACGTAGCCCGAAAAGCTCAATAAGGCAAGAGAGGTGAGGGGTTGAGGGATGGCGTCCTTCTCGCGCGAACTCTGCGCCTGCAGCTTGCGGCGGGGCTCCGTCTGGACGAAGTCCTGGAGCCTGGCGCGGACGTCGAGCTCCACCTCCCTGTTGACCGCCGCCCAGATCCACTGCTTCGTCATGTGCAGGAGGCTGTCGACGGCGCGCTGCGGGGCGTAGTTGTCCAGCCTGGCGTTCTCCTGCACCACGTCCTTGCTGAAGATCTCCTCGATGGTGTGCAAGACCTTCGTGATCTCGAAGATGCGCTCCACGCGCGTGATCTGGTCCAAGTCCTGCACAACGCTGAGCTCCCACTCGCCGTTGTCACCCGCCTTGTGCTGCCGCGAGTCGCCGTCTCCGCACGGCCAGTACACGGATATCGAGCGGTTGATGTACCAGCCGCCGTAGTGGAAGTCCGTGATGGCACAGCGGGGCCCCAGCCCATCGCCACCGAACAGCATCCCGAAGACCCAGCCCTTCAACACTGCTGGGCTCGGGGCATGCGTGACCCCGACCTTGAGCTCGCCCCCGTCACAGTCGCCGCTGGACCAGCCAGGGCCTCGAACGACCGCGCAGCCGTAGTCGAAACTCGAGCAGAGGCGGAGGTTCGACCTGATGTGCGATGCCTCGCGCGGAGCCCGCGCCAAGCGAGCAAGAACCACTGGGAGACTATCTCCAATGGCGAAGTGGGGCACCACGGCCATGAGAGAAACTCTTCCAATGCACCCGCGCCCAGGGGGGGCCGATAACACTCGATGAAAACGTCGACCCAGAAGCCCCATGGAACGTTTCGGACTGGAGAACGCGTTCAGCCCGACGCATCGCTGATGGGAAGCCCCCCCCCCCCCTCCAGGAACGCGACCACAAAGCCCTGGGATACGTTCACGCCCCGCGGGTGTCCTCCAAAGCCCTCGGGACGAACGCCACCAAGTCGCGGGATGCCATCTGCAGCGCCGCGGAAACTGCTCACACTTTCCCCTGGAGCCCCAAAAAACAAGCTTCCTCGAGCCGAGCTGCGGCACCGAGCTGAACTCAACCCGACGAGCCGCCAAGCAACTCATTTGCGGCTGGACCACCCCATCCCCCGCCAAAGCCTAGTCCTCACCCGCCATCCCCCCGCCATGCCCCCCTGACCTCCCCCATCTAAAACCAAGAAGCAACGTGTTCACTCCTCGACCGCACGGCCGCGCATCTCCCCGAGCGCGCCGAAAACTAACCGTTGTCACAGCCGCCCTCTCTTGGGCAACGACTGTCGGCCACGAGCACGGCCCCGAAGCAACTCCCCTAAACCCAACTAAAAAACGGTGAGGCGCAGAACGGCTGGTGCTGATATCGCAGAGCCCCCCGCACGGTTTCTTTAGGATGCCTCCTTCTCCCTCAAATCCCCGTCAATGCGATATCAGACCTACGGGCCGAACAGGCCCTCCACGGGGCAATGATCCAGCGGCAGGGCGTGGTGCTGGAGCCACACCGTCCAGCACTTCTTCAAGGCCACCTTGAACGCCTCGAAGCTCGAGCCGTAGGTCCCCCAGCTCGCCGAATTGTACTTCCCCAGCGTGTTGGTGCACCACGCGCCCTGCGTGTTCGACCGCCAGATGAAGGCGCCTGGCGGGAGGAACAGTTTCGCGACGCCCTGGTCGAGGTCGTCGCCAGGCTCAGGTGGGCGCCTGGGCATCCCGCTGTCCCTGATGAAATTCTTCAGCGGATGGTTCTTGGACTTGGCCGCTGGGGTCTTACCGACGTGCTTCACCTCTAGAGGCGTGGTGTGCCGATGCCAGCCCGAGGAAACACATCCTGGCGCAAGACCCGACCGAAGACTGAGGGCATCGGCTTAAGGTTGCACTTGGCTTCGCTATCTGCGGGCCCCACCCGTTCCGAAAGCACGCGCAGGCTCAAGAAACTCGCCGAACTTGAAGGGGGCCGCAGAAAAGGCTGCCGACGGGGCCTCTCGAGATCCTCAGGAGCCCGCGAGCCCACCCCCATGAACATGGACTGCCACGACGGGGTCTGCATAATCATGATGGTCGAGCTGCCGAGCCGCGGTCGGAAACTCCCAAATGCGCGTGCCATCCGCATGGTGTGGTATGTCAGCATGAGTGCGCACGGAGGCACCGCTAGCCGACGCCACTGGAGGCCGTCGGTGGAACTCCCCTCTGGGGGCGACTCTCATGAAGGGGCATGCCGACGTGAAGGCGGCGCAGACGTCGCATCACTGCTACTGGTGCCGACTGTGGAGCATCCCATGGAACGCGCGCTCGGCGCCGAATGTGCGCCGACGCAGAGCGGCAGCGCCGAGGGGCGTGCGGCGCCGCCCCCGCCGTTAAGACGCTAGCTGGATCCAAGGGTGGGGCCGCGGCTCTAACGCATGCCCCGCCAGACGCGGATGCTATCATGGGCTGGGCGAGGGGAAAAGGAATGACTGGGTGATTGCCCGAAGCTTGCGGCTCAGGGGAACGAAGGCGCCCCGCGCACCCTTCAACGATGACCAAACGTCTGACTACAGGGTGCGCCTAACGTGTCCACCCAAAGCATTCTACGGGATGGAAGGGGTGCATCCAAAAACGAACAGCCCGCGGCAACCAACGTGGCCCCAAACCCCGCGATTCAAACGAGCCGCGTGTCCAAGAACGGCAATTGGCGCCAGCCCCAGGCCCTTCGAGATACGAGGGAGACTGCAAAGATGAACGAGCACCGAAATGGTAAATTACCTCCTCAATCCGAACCCACCCCCCATGTGCCTCTGTTGTCTGGGGCGGCGGGCGCGTCAGCGTATCAATGATGAGGCCTTGTACTTCGTCATCTCATCCAAGAACACCCTCTTGGAAGCCTGGGCCGACTTGCACGACTTCACCTCCGCGTGCACCTCCCTGGCGGCGTCGGGCTCGAAAGCGTCCGCCACCCACTCGAGACTGAGGAGGTCCTCGATGTTGTCCTCGTCGTAGCTCATCAGCCGCTTCTGGAGCACACGAAGCACGTGCTCGTGCGTGCAATCTGGGATGCACTGCTGGCACATCGCCACGAGAAGCGCGCATGCCGAAGTACTTGGGTAGGCCCACTCCTTCGCGTCGCAAATGTCCTTCAGCAGCACACAGGCAGATCCCAGAAGCCCTGCAGGCACGCGATCTCCATCAAGGGGCGGGCGTCGCCCTCCCACGTGGCCACGAAGGTGTAGGCGGGGTACTGGTCCGAAGCCTCTGAGGCGGAGAACGGCGACGACGCTCCGACCCCCCTTCGCATGGGAAAGTCACGTCGACACCTCGGACCCGCATCATCGCCCCCACCCACCCCCGCCCCCTCATCCCCCCCCCCCACTGTCCCCCTCGCCCCCGCCACCCCACCTGCCCAACCCATCCGCCTCGTCACCTCCCTCATCGTCATGACGTCTATCCTCTGAACGTGTTTCCGACGTGATCCACCGCGCGCTCTCCTCGCACCCCCCTCCTTCGAGGCCCGAGAAGGAGGGCGGGGCGCGGGCGCGACGGGGGCGACTGGGCGGCGGGGGTGGAGGGGAAGGAGGAGGAGGAGGAGATCGAGGAGGAGAATAAGGATGGCCAGTGCAAGAAGGGGGAGGAGGGGGAGGATGAGAAGACCCCAGCAGAAGCAGACGAAGGGGGACACAAGAAACAAGACGATATGAAGTGCCCCGCGGTGTCCTTGAGGTCCACCTCCCCGCGCGGCGGCAAGCCCGCGTCGTCGGGCATCCTGCCGAGCTCGCACTTGACGGCTTGGAACATCGGGCCGTGGTATTCGACATGGACGGCCTCCCACTCCAAGTCGTCGAGCACAGCGTGCAATTCGTATCTAGCAGCGTTGGCGACCTTCGCCGTCCGCTCACCGATGATCTCGGCTGGCCACATGATACCAAGCTCGCCCGCCACCGACCCGACCCCGAAGTACCACATCTCGGTGCCGACCTTGCGCAGGAGCACGCTCTTGTGGACCAGCCTTGCAAAGAAGCGGGTCTTCAACTTCTCCATGGCCCCCGCCGCCGCTGCCTGCCTGCAGACTTCCACATCTGCGAACGGCACGTACTGCCCTGCAGCCCCAGGTGAATACCAAGTTGGGTCACCGAAGGACGCGCACTCGTGAAGCTTCAAAGGCAGCAGCTCGGGTGGCTGGTATTTCCTGAGAAGCTGCGGCTTGAAGGCACGCGGCTCGAAACAAGCGCTCCGCTGCGCCGCGTGAGCGGAGCAGTCTACCTCGGCATACCTGTGGCACTGCGAAATCACCTTCGAATCCAGCGTGACTGCCATAGCCGTCTGCGCACAGCATAGCGTATTCTTGTTCTGCCCCACGCGGCCCTTGATCTTGTTGAAGCTGTCCTCCACGATCTGCTGGCAGATGAACCTCGTGCAGCGCGTCCGCACGAACTCTAAGAACCTGTGGGAGCGGGGGAGAAAGGGGGCGCCACTCTCAAACCTCACCCACACAATGCCCAGAACTGCCATCCCATCCTGCCCTGTCCTCCCATTGCGCAACCTCGTCCGACCACTAAACCTCCTCCCCCTGCCACGGCCAAAAGAACCTGTCGGTAAGCTGCCAGCCGTCCTGCTCAAGGCAAAACTGCAACTGCTTGACGCTCGTCCTGTTGAAGACGCTCCGCGTGACCATGGCACGGCTCCCCTCAAAAGTGCACGCCCGCAGCTGGTCGAAGATGGCGAGGTCGCTGCGAAACGCAGCAACGAAATCCGACTGAGTAGCAGGATCCAACGACAGCACGACGCGCCTCGGGTACCCGTGGCTCAGGCAAAGGTTCCTGCGGGCGCTCTCCCCGACGATTGAAAACACCAAGTTCACGACGTCCGACGCGAAGGAATCTGACGACTTGATTCGGGCATGATCTAAATGCATATTACAAGGCCCCCAAGACGACTCGATGCCCATATCGTCGAAATCCGCCGCTGTGCCCCCTGGCACGTTGAGGCGCGCTAGAATGCCCAGTGCTGGCATGTTGTAAATTACGAGGGACTGTGGCCTCGGAAGAGGTGCCGTTGCACGCTGGCACGCGTGCGTCGGCCTCCCGCCGAAAGCCGCAACCCCTTCGTAAAATAAACTGAGATCGCACTCATGATGCCACAATCACTCGTGGCATGCAACGGAACCGCGCTCCTGAGACCGCGACCCCTCGTGACATACTACAGACTCGCGCTCCCGAGGCCAATCCCTGGCAACATACAAAACATTCGCGCTCCCGAGGCCACAACCCCTTCGAAACGCACAGCAGAATCGCGCTCCCGAGGCCACAATCCCCTTGTAAAGCACGACAGAATCGCGCCCCCGAGGCTACAATCCCTTATACAATGCAACAGATGCGCGCCACCGAAGCCACAATCCTTAGTAAAATGCAACAAAAATCGCACTCCAAGAAGGCCCCAATAGGCCACAAATATGATCCAATATGGACACGAGACGCCCGAAGATTGATCACGACGCCCAAGATGGCCTCCAGGCGGCCCAGGACGTCGCCACGGAGATCGAAGGGAGCCTCAGGGGGCCCTCCATGTGGCTGTATCTTGTTGTGGATTGCTTTCCGACGACTAATCAAACGCCCGAACCCTAACGCCGCGCCAGGAAGCCTAACCCCGAGAGCCACTCTTGGTGTCAATGGTGGGGCCATCGTGAGAAGAACGGATTTCGGCACGCAAACCGAAATCCGTTCCCTTCAACCATGCCGATTGTTTCGTTCAACCCGTGCAACCCAGAACGGCCCGAAAGGGCCCAATTCAGCCCCAAACCAGCTCAAGGACTGCCCGAGAGCCCTCCAAAGCGCCCAGGATGTTCCCAACAGCAACAATAATCCCTAGACGACCCAAGACGAGAAAGCGTCACGTGTGACGGCTTCTTTTCCGCATCCTCATCCACGCCACCACCGTCACCATCACCATCATCATCACCACCATCATAGAGCTTCGAGGTACAACGCATCACAGCTTAGGGCATCCCCAAATCCCTACCACATGAAACACCAAGACAGCTGGGCGGGCGCGGTGGCGGGACTTGCCGCAGGCAGCTGGATACCTCCTCGCCACGAGCACTGTCATGCTCAACTGGGCACTCTTGAACATGCCGCCGCCCATCTGCTCCAGCTCGAAAGGGATGACCTCCTCCGCGCTGCGGAGTAGCTGGTTCTGCCTAGGGGCACGCGAACTGTATTTGGGGAGGGGGGGGGGCTCGACCGCGGACGCATCCTCTCCTTCTGACCCTCGCTTCTCTCATCCACCTCCGCCGTCCTCCTCACCGCCAACACCCTCGCCCTCCTCACCGTCCACCTCCGCCGCACCCGAAGATCGCAGACTAGGGGACTGCCCCCCTCCTCGCGACTATCCGTCGGCAGCGCCGAACCCCCCCCCCACGCGCCACCAGAGCCTTAACATCGAAAGGTCGCCACATGCTGCACGCCCTTGCCAAGCCCGCCTCCCCCTCGAAGCCTCCGAGGCCCCGCGAGGAAGAGGAAGAGGGCGTGGAGGGTGGACGGATATGAGGATGAGAAGGAGCGGACCGATTGTTTCATCAAAAAATCGAAACTCGTTTTCGGCGGGGAGGGCGCGGGAGCGCCTCGAATGGAAGGAGGCCACGGGCATCAACACGTTGCAGATGACCTTCTGTCGGAAGAAGTTCGTCGTGTCCCCGAAGAGCCAGGCGGCCCTGTCAAGCTGGTTCTTGGACTGCTCCAAGGTCGACATGTGCGCGAACTGGGAGACTGTGGCCTTCCCGTCGACGACGATCGCGCCACCGTCCACCTCCGCAGCA